AAAAATGAGCAAATGTTATTTGGAATGAACCTAAATTTCGAAATTTGAAAGGAAATATCAAATAAATTTAATAAAAAAAAGAGATATTTATAAATACATACCAAACTCAATTTCATTGAGGATCTAGAATTTTGAAAGCTAATTTTTTAAAAACTACTCGTGCGACTTTTACAAAAACTTAGCTGTTTGGCGTAATTTGAGTTGTAGAATTGAAATATGGAAAAAAAATTGGCATATCATTTCAGAAAAAGTCAGATTTTGTGTCAAAACACCTATATTAGAACAATGATATATATAAATCTAATACATACCCTACGTCGCGCTTTCGAGACATGAAAAACGCAAGTTGAATTTCATCAATCGGCCCAGTAGAACGGGAAATATAGAAGTGTCCTCTTTTTTTTTTTTTTTCGCAGTGTACAGTTGTGCAACACTTTTGTTTTCAATTTTAAAAAGCTGCGTATTTTCTTTATTCAAAAAAATCCTTCCTTACATCACTTTTCAAAATGCTTTCTGAATTTTACCTTAGAAAAATCAATAAACGACTGAAAATTATATCACACAAAGTTCCTGCACCTAGGACGTATTTTTTTAATAAAATCATCTCTATTGAATGACATTCATTTCCCACTCCCTTATGTTACGATTTCTTTTAATCCAACCGGAGGACAGACATTTACACGAACATTTTAAAATAACTATTTCTTTTCATATTTATTAAAGATTATTAAAAATATTTCAGAATTTACCTAGAATATAGAACTAGATAATTGAATTGCACATTTTGATTTTATTTGTTGATTAAAAAACTACATTCATTTACAGTTTGAAGATTTAATTTAGCATAAAAGTCTAGAGTAATTCTGGATTTCTCTGGTGATCCTGTACTGGATGCTTTTTTAGTTTTGGAGATATCGTTCTGAAAACTGTGTCGAAGCATTTACTTTTCCGATTAAAATAAGTTTTTATCATTTTATGCTTAGCAAATCTTCGAAATTTATGTAATGTTCTGCTTCATGTGGTATTAAAATATTAAGATATAGGGAATGCCGGAACTATTCTGAACAAAGTATTCGATTCGCCCCTGCAAAACACTACAGTCTCTCTTCGAAGTCAAGTGCCGGAGTTGGGCTCAAGTACGCTTCGATTGAAAGTAAACAAGGTGTGCACCGTGTCTTTACTTCGAATTCCTGAATTTTAATAAGCATGCTTTGAGGAAGATTCAAACTAATGGCACTCACTGCTCCAGACTTCTTTAGAGCTAATTAAAGACAGGTATCCCGTAGTAATGAAGGTCATGTGGTAAAGTGGCAGCTAAACACTAAGAACCAGGAATTAAGCTACTTTTCATTTCATTCCTAAAATAAAAATTTCAGTGTGTTGTCAGTCAAGCGATAAACAATATCTTTCTCATCCGAGCTCATAAAGTCGTCTTTGCTTTAAAAGTTCTTTTTAGAAAGTAGTTCATTCGCAGTGAGGAGGAAATAGGAGCAACGAAAATGTTCTGCGTCAAGACTTTTGCCTAGCGGCATTAGAGCAGTCCAATTTTAACGTTGTCCCGTTTTACCTGAACTCGTTTCTTTTCGTTAGATCAAAAATATTTTCTGACTTACCGGCGGTAATTCAGATTTCACTGAAATGGCGTTCACTTTTGATTTCATTCGAAATTTTCAATCAAAGATTTTTACAAAAAATGTTTTCTTAAATTTTATCATTCTGCTCTGGAACTCTTTTATATTTATACGTACAAGATGTTTAGGAGCAAACGCATTCCACATCTAATAAAGACTGAAAATGGTTATAAATATATAATCTGGCCATTCTGTATGTGAATTATTGTACTTAAATTTCAATTATCTGCCGTATTGTAACTCTATATTGTTAAGACTAACATTACATGCTCTGAAGCATAATTCATCCTTATGTAGTTTCGAAGCCCACTAGCGGCTGATCGTACAAGTAGCTGAACACTAGTACAGGATTCGAATCCCGGCGAACGGGCTGGCCGCATGGGCGTTTCTGAAGTTTTCTCCAAGTGAAACGTGTATGCGAGGTAGTTTCCCTCGTAAAGTCCTCCATGAAGGCATCCCTTCCCTTAGGCAGATAGCCCTCAAGTACTTTGCATAATTAAACAAACCAAACTTACGCAGTTTAGAAAAATTCTAACTGCAATCGTCAGTTCCCGTTGTAGAATAATAAAATTAAAATTCTGTGGAGGAGAGGAAAATGTTTAAATATTCGCAAATAGTTATCTGGTTATTATATATTTCGCAGAACTAAAAATTATCTGTTGTATAATGTGTTTTTCAGCGAATTAAGAAATAAGTTTGATTCCTCCATGCCTTTTAAGTACAAATCCACGGTTTTCCAAAAAATAAAATATAACTTTATTTCAGCTGGAATAAACATTTGATCAAATCTAATCATAAGAGGAGAGATAAAATGTAATTATCATTGTAAAATTCATCTCACTTGGGCCAATGATGCCTTTGTTATCAAAATGATGACTCTGAATCAGCAAAGAGAAATAATAAGGAACAGACTAAGTAAAATACAAAGACCTTACAAACTGTTTGAGAGATTGAAAAAAATATTATTATATATAAAATATTACTATGTATTGAAAAACATTTGTCCAGTGCAAGAATACGGCTTCTTTTATTAGTAAACATACTTTGAGTAAAAGCAGACTATGCACTCAAATGACTGAATTTTTGCTCATTTTAATACGGATATATATCGTTTGCATTCTGAAAAGTTAGTGTTTCCTATTCGTAAGAAAACAAGGAAAGACATCGTTTACCATTTTTATGACAATACTTTTAACATACGTAAGATGCAAAAGTAACTAGTATTTTACATTAACATAACTATGTTACATAAAATACAAGTATATAACTGACTACGTAGAAAATAAAAATTCTTTTCATTAGTGATTCTTTTCCCTACATTATTCAGTCTTGGTTTAAATGAAATTAAATTTATAACGAAATTCTAAATTAAATCGAATGATTCACTGATTTGGATTACATATACTCCATGAAAAGTATCAAATATGAAAAATCAAATTTTAAGTATTTTAATAAATAGAACTCAGAAATTGTCAAAACATTCATGGCAACATTTTAAATTCACATTTCCAGAGCTTCAGAAAATAGTAAAGAGCGGTAAATGAAATGAAGTTTATTCTTAAGAAAGGAGATTGACTGCAAGTGGAAATTTAAAATTAAAGTCCTCCGGAAAGTGATTAGAGGTTTAATTTATTTCTCGGGTTAAAACTCTTTCTCTGGGTAAAGAATACGTATATAAATCAGGTATTCACTTTCTGGAGTGAGCATTGATAAATTCATCTCCGTTTCGGTTCTTGGCAGCTGAGGAAACTAGCCGCATAGTTTAATACCACTTCCCATATGTAGCGTGAATATGGTATCAGTTCTCTTAGAAAGCTCTCTACGAAGATATGCTTCTTAAAGCAAATAGACCTTAAGTTCTTTGCGATGTACATGATCATCCAAAAATGAGGCAGCAGGCTCTGCCTTTAATGTTCATCCTAAGATAGTTTCATGATAATAGTTTTGACACGTGGGAGTGAAGGTTCAGTAAATCTAAAACTGAATATTTTTTTATGGCTGTACGAAGCAAAAATTTCAATTAGCAATGCATTCACTATGCTTAAATCATGTATTAAAAATTTCATACATTTACCAACAGAACTCGCGAAATAAATTTATTGACGTAAATCACTTAATTCATATTTTCGAGTGAGATTAAGTATTCCTAAAATTTGTAACGCAGCTGGAGAAAGTTGTTCTTTGTGGCGATTACAAGTTCCGCATTGTATAAAACAAGCTTCCCCGTTAATTTTAGGTAACCTCGAGAAAATACTATATACGTATATCCCTGCAAACTTTGTACGCAGAACCATGGAATAATTTAATTTAATTTAATGAAATAAGATGAATATTTTGCTAATTGAATTACTTGCTCTACAGTAACCATATAAAAAGTTACACTCTTACTACTTTCAGTGAAAATATTCCCATATAATGATGTATCTTATTTAAGTCTTGGAACATATCTAAGATCCGATAAAGAAATAATATTTGCAGCTTTCTTCTTCATGTCTAACCTAACTTAACCGTTCCTTCAGATTTAGGTGCCAATTCTGTGTTACTTTACACAGTCAACTTCTAGAGACATTAGGTTAATTGGAAGTAGAAGATATGAAAAATGAGCAACCTTCCTCGCCGGGAATCGAACCACGGACCTCTGGAATACGCGCCCAGCGTGCAGACCACCACACCACGAAGGCACGCTAAGAAGGCGGGAGAAAGACCTTATATACTTTCCCTTTTAAAGGGCGACTGGGGGTTTTAGGGGACCCAATCGCCAAATCCTGGGTGTGGAGAATCATCATCCACCACCCTTTTAGTTCGGGCGGTACTGTAGAGACATGAGGTTATTTGGAAGCAGGAATGATGAAAAATGAGCAAAACCTTTGCCGGGAATCGAACCACGAACCGTTCGGATACGCGCCCAACGTGCAGACCACTACACCACGAAGGTACACTAGGAAGGCTAGGAGATCTTACTCGGAAGGTCGGGTCCGTTTTCACATTATAAACTTAAAAACACTAAATAACAATGCGGCTAGTCCGTTCAATCATTTGGAAAAGAAAGACAATCTAACTGAAATGTGTGTCGTGGTTGTAATCGCTCACCACCTAAGTTACAGGTGTAATCCAAACTTTATAAATTTAGATTTTTAAGTTCAATATATTTACTTTTCTATTCTATCACTAGTGTTTTGCCCTCCTCTGATATTCAGCAATATAAAAGTTTAGAATAATCCTTAATCTCTAAAATAGCAAATTTCTAAAGTGGGACAAACTGTAAACTGATTCAACGTTTCTGTGAAACGAAAAAAAAAACTATTTATCTGTACTATCAATTTTTAATAATAATTGTGTTATTAAATTAATACAAAATTATCATTACAGGTACACTTACAGAAGAAGAAATGTTGGATTCTATCGACTTCATTGAACTCCCTGGAAGGGGACGGTGTAATATCTACTGTGCTCGCTATACTTATGACCCTCTAAAACAGTCTCCAAATGAAAATCCTGAAGCTGAATTAGCTTTGAATGCAGGGGATTATGTTATCATATATGGCGAAATGGATGAGGTACAATTTTGAATTTTCCCTGCCTATGCAATGAAACTTTCTATGAATTAGCTGCACGTGAATGTTTTCTCCTTTAGATAGGCCTCTACCAAATTTTTAACGTACCGACATCATGAAATCAAATTGATCCAATTCTCTAACTTAAGCAAAACGTATAAAGACTATCTGCGTTAGTATAATCCGAGTTTTGAAAGAGAGCACCTAAGCTATAGAATCCGAATATAACCTTCTTATTTTATCGTCAACTTTTCAAGATGATTTTCAGATTTATAGATTGTAAGTTCCCAAATTCTTCAAAAGCACTGCACTCACAAATGGTCATGGCTTAGTCAGGATTCGAACCCTTACTCAAAGGAGTGCGCAGTCATCTTGCACTAATAATGAAAAGAAACAGGACGACTGAAGCAGAATGTAGGTAATTGCATATATAAATGTAATATGAATGAAGTATGAGAATTGGATTTTATTGGGAAATAAAAAAAAGTATTTATGATTTTAAAAGCCTAATTTAAAATTTCTCTCGTTAACTTTTTCAAGAGTTAGGAAATTATTCCATTATCAGTTCTAAAAACTCTTTAAAAATACTCATGAAATATCTTTTTTAAAACCTAAATTGATTTTTATGTTTTAGTGAGGGTTTGTATTCATTTTGTGGTAAGGAACTAAGATAATCAATGAAATAATTTGTATTAAATACACGAAAAAGCAGCAATATATGAATCGCAATAGTTATATTTAGTTGCGGATAATATGTTTCTGAACGATAGAGTAATAAGTAAGTTACGCTTGGCTGAATGTAAATAAAGTTGAATTGAGGCATGTTTGCGGTGAAAGAGGACTCAGTTTAAAGTAATAAAAAAAAATAAAACTTCGGAAAAACTGCTCAGCTATTTCGGCATCTATAATAATATGTTATAAGTATAACTGATCGCAAATTGGTTATCTAATTGATGGTTTTATCCAAACGAATTTTCAAGGTGAGCAGTCTTTCGTACATTCCAACGAAGAAAATCTTTTATAATGAAGTACTTTTTTTAACAGTGAACTGTAAATCTAGAATACAATAATTAAAACATAATTTACATATACTAGTCAAACGTTTTTATATAATCAGAAGTTGGTAGACATAAAATCTAAGTCTCGACTCTTCGCTCGACTTTCTCCTATCAGTGCTCTCCAGGAAAAGTTACATATTACAGTTTATTTCTATTTTAAAGTAAATCAAAGTAAGGTTATATAAGTCCAAAAATCTGGAAAAGGAAAGTCTGCTTTAACCATCCTGAGTAATGACGAAACATTTTTTAAAAGTTCCCTGTCAAAAAAAAAGCATGCCAAAAGATTGCAGCGACCAATATCAATAATTCAGAAATAATGTTAAAATAATAATATTTCTGAATAAACATAGGTCATATGTTCGAGTGGGTAAAATTCACACAACACGATTATGCTCTTTCAAGGTCAAAAATTTCCCTTTCCGACGCTCAAGACAGTGACGGGTCTTATCTACACTGGTTATCATTAGTTAAGGAAAAAATCACAAAAATTAGGATTACTCAAAACGTTAAGTGTAGAATTTAATGAAACTGACCCACAGTATATACAACACACAGTAAGGTATAAAATAACATAAAAAGGAATTACCAGACAATTATGGTGTCATAGAAATTAGCATATGTATAAAATGAACAAATCGGACGTGTCAGTTTCGTATAGGAAAATTACCTTCAATATGGAGTATGATCTTCCCTAGAAGCAATAAAACACATACAGCGATGTGCGATGCTGTCAATTGTACAGCCAATCAGTTCCTTTGAAAGTAAGAGCAATTACTCTTGCAAAGCAGTGGCAAGCGTATTGAGAGCAACTATGTGTCTTCCTAAAGCATCTCAAACATGCTAAATGGGATTCAAGTCCGGTGATAGAGCTGGCCACTTCATGCGCTGAGTTGTTTGCTGCTGAAGATCATCATCCATGATGCGAGCTCTGTGCCGTTTACGTTGTCTTCCCGTAACAGGAAATTATCACCTGTTGCCCTGGCATAAAGGAGCACATAAGCATCAAGAATATCACTTTATTGGCCTGAGCATTCATGGTTTCACGTAGAAGGACATGGAGGTTTGCGTAACCACCTGAAGAGATACCACTCCAAACACAGACACTGCCTCCTCCGTATGCATCTCTTTCACAGATGTTTAATGGATGATAACAGGTTCCAGATTTTCACCAAATCAAATAACGCCGACTATCGCTTTGGAGGTTCAACCTGGACTCATTCGTAAAGAGAACAGCCCTCCAATGACCAGCTATCCAGTGGACATGTTGGCGTGCCCACCTCAAACGATCCCTTCTATGGCGTGTCATGTACGGCATGCAATTGACTGGTCGCCTAGTGTACAGACCTCATTCGTGAAGCCTTCTACGGACGGTTGACGTCGACACCGACCTTCCAGTGGCTGCAGCAAGAGAGGATATGAGTTGAGTCAAAGTATAAAGATCTGTACTTTTCCAGCGTTTTTAAATTGACGTGCTGAAAAATTGAAAAGGCAGGACTTTTAAATAGATAGATTTTTTTTACATAAACAAATGAAGCTTTATATTCTAGAAGATAGTTATTAAAATTCTTGTGAGGCATTATAGAAATCATAAAAAGGGGGGTATTATAATGATTGAAATCAGTGAAATAAGAACTACGTCCACGATAGTTTAGAATACAGGGTGTTCTAAAAAGGTAAATACATGCTTTATTTCTTCAAACATTAACTCTAGACATGTACTTCCAGTTACAAAGATTTTCAAAATGAGACAGAGGAATTTTATTTATGGCGGGAGTATGTAAAATAAAATCTGTATTGTGTTTCCAGTAGAGCAAAAACTCCGAACGTTTCTTCCCTTTCTGTGAAATATTCGTTGATTTCGGCTATTCGAGAATGAATTCACAGACTTTGATAATTTGTCAGAGTCTGCTACTAATCTAAATGTTGAATTTTTCAATTTAATTTCAATTTCAAAATTTTAAAAACAATTGCCAGATAAAAATTCTTAGCTTTGTTGATTAATGGTGTATTAGATAAAACAATACTCATTATGAAATTTGCAACTGGTCCCATGAGATTATTAATTACTTCTATCTCCGCTAATTTTGCACATAAAAGTGTGAACTGTATATTTAAACTACTCAATCAGTCACACTGTTAAAGCTTTTCTTTTTATGAAATTTCTTATATTAGTTTGAAAACTTCGTAATTGGAAATCCATATCTGGAACCAATATTTTAGACAATAAAGTCTGTAGCTAACCCTCCCGAAAATCTGCATAAAGGTTTGTAGAGACATTAGGATTTTTTGGAAGCAAGAGAGACGGAAAATTAGCAACGCCTTCGCCGGGAGTCGTACCGGGGACCTCTGGAGTACCGGCCCAGGGTGCAGAACCACTACACCACGAAGGCACGCTAGGAAGGCGGAAGAAATACCTTATATACTCCCCCTTTTAAAGGGCGACTTTGGTTTTTTTAGGGGACTCAATCGCCAAATCCTGGGTGGGGAGAAATAATCATCCGCCACCCTTTTAGTTCGGGCGCCACTGTAGAGATATTAGGTTAATTTTTGGAAGCAGGAAAGATGAAAAATTAGCAAACGCCTTCGCCGGGAATCGAACCATGGACCTCTGGAATACCGGCCCAGTGTGCTGACCACTACACACCGAAGCACGCTAGGAAGGCGGGAGAAATACCTTCTAGGTTAAATTACTATACTTTAAAATATCAACTCTCGGAACTCAAGTATATGTTAATAATTAAGAGTTGTATTATAGGTGGAGAAAGTTTACATAACATTTATATTCATAACTCTTAATTAGCTAACGTGTTTTTGAAAACATTAGAAGAATATGAATATTACATTGTATAGATACATACTACTACATTTTTTGTAGCAGGACACGTGAAAAATCATTTGATCCCTTGTCAGGCATTACAGCCACAACTGCTAGATAAGTATACTAACCGCTGCACCACAAGGACACACATGGAGGGATGCTTTAATTCTTTACAACAAGAAGCCGACAGCTTGAAAACTAAACACATAAATTACTCCAATTCGCAGAAATTCTGAGATATTAAAAAGACACTCAAATCAGTTTCGTTTGATAGCTTTTGATTTAAAAGATAATGTTATATCTGAAAAGACTACTAAACAAAGGATCTCTTTTCTGTGTGATTTATTGGGTTATAATTATTATTATTTTTATTTTTATTTTATTTTTTTGCAGAGGATGGGTTTTTCAACGGAGAACTTTTGGATGGGAGAAAAGGTTTAGTTCCTTCGAATTTTGTTGAAAAACTTACAGGTGATTTTAATATTGTATCTTTATATTATAGTGTATATTTGATATTCCTGCTTTAAAGTCATACTGGTAGTATTTCGCGATTACAACGGCAATTTCACGATTACAATTCAGTAAACAATTTAAATTAACATCTCATAACTAATGTAAAGTGTTTAGTAGAAAGTAAATTTACTGATACTTAAGTAAGAATTTTCTAATATTCAACAATAATTTGCACAGCTACAAAGATCATTGAGAAAGCATTATTCAGAAAACGCTTCCCTTCCTTTTTTCTAAGTTTTTGGCATTTTCCTTTTTTATATGTGATCATCATAATGAGAACCAATACTCATGACCCGGACGTCGAAAGGATTATGCATTGAAATTTGCATAACTCACACCTCTTCCTTAAGAAAACCAAAATTTTATAATAAAACTTCGCAAATGAGTAATGAATCACCGTAATTAACTGCATGTTTTAAAGCCTTTTCAATTCCTTATTATTGAGGTTATAGACACTACCCACTCAAACGTTTCAAATATGAATGATGTTACGCCTTTGCATTATTTCGCTCTCTGTAGTACAATTACACATCAGAATTCAGCTTCCAGTCTCCAGTGGCGTCCAAATGTTAAGCAACAACGAAAGAATTAGCCGATTCGGTGATTACAACAACATATAGCCACAAAAATTGCATCCATAGCAAGCTAGCCCGCATAAAAAATTTTCATGCCAACATTTTCAGAAATACACATATAATGTATCAAAACAGTATAAGAACGCCTGTTCTTCGCAGGATTTATATCACTGCGTTAGGGCTTCAGAAGGTAAACCGAAGTTGTCAAATTTTGAAAAATAAGTACTGAACAGCATCTGAAAGACGCCTAGTGGTGGAGGATAATGGCATCTCCAAAAGAGCCAGCGACAGGTACAGGTTAAAGCAGAACTGGCACTGGTGCATTCCCTATAGGTATATATTAACCGGGTTTTGCTAAATCTTACCTTCCGCCCCAATTTTGAGGAGGAAAACCCCGAGATTGGGAGCGAAGATTTTCCATCCTTTTTCTCTATCATCAAGCACTCCAGAGGAATTTCCGTTGTACGCGTATTTTGAGTACTCCCTTGCCTCACAAACAATATACTCTTACAAACATTCACGGCTTCTCCGGTATTCGAAACCTAGCCCATCGGTAAAGCAATCAGCTTCATTAAGCACTACACCATATGGACCGAACGAGCCAGCGACAATCGGAAGTCATCAGTCGGCGTCATCTGCTGCTGTAAAACCGGCGCATGATGTTCCCACGTCACAAGAACATGCGCAGAACAACGCCGATTTGCTGTCAGTGTTTCATCCATTATTTTTAAGGGGTATCACTTAATAGGCCCATATCTCGTCTGTGCCTTGGAGGGATGATTTTTAGGAACAGATCCAGCAATCGCTCTGCCATGACATGTGATTCCGTCAGGAGGGGATCCAGCCTATTTCAGGATCCAGCCTGTGACGCTCAGGAGTACTTAAATGCGACATGTATGGATGATAGGGGATCAGGTGTGGTGGTACCATACATAGGCCTCCAAAATCTCTGGGTCTATCCTCCTTAATTTTTTCTGGGTCACATGATTGCCTGTGAACAATGAGAAGGAACTTACCGCACGCATTTGCGTAGCTGCTCCAGCCATCCGAGTGATGCCCGTAATATTTCCTGTGTGGCACCGATGTCAAACTGCTGTTATAATTAATGGCCGATACTTCGAACACTTTCTGTGGCCTCTCTTAATATGGCAATTGTTATATTTTGATGAATAAAATAATTTGCCTCACTTTGTAGGATTTGTTCATCAATTCATTTATTAGCTTAACTTTCATTCTACTGAGACTTTCAGGCTGCTTATCTCCTCGTCTATGAAAACATCTGCCTAACACAGAAGAAGGTTTAAATAAAAACGTTTAATTTAAACTTTAAAATGCACTGCTTATGTTTACAAATCAGTCTCCGCTGACTACAAGATTTCAAGGTAATATAAAACCGTAATTTAAGATTAAGCATTAACTAACCCTGCAGATTTACAGGTCCAATGCTTAACAAGTATGGGCTCTAATTAAGTGAGGAAGTCACTCTACTAGCGAAAAGTTAAAGCTGGATGAATTTGTTTCCAGAACTGGGTGAAGGAATCGTACAAGCTCAGCGTTGCTGTCGAAAATTTGAAGAGAAAGCTCAGCTTTCTCTCCAAATTTCAAGAACTCTGTTCTTATATATGCGTATCACATTTATATCCCGGTAAAAGGATGTAGAAGCGACAAAAAAGTTTTAATCATAAGCTAAGGGGATAATTAAACTAAATGCCTTGCAACTTAAATGTCGCTCTTTCATTTATCGTGTTCTCTGCACACGTACGCATTACGATGATGTTTCCAATCCTGTATTGATCTTTAATTCCGATTCATTCTTTGAGTATCTTATCTCTCCCAGTAGTTTGCACACGCAGTTGTGAATCACCTCGTATAAAATATTTATAACAAAATAAACAATATATTATTTCTCCGTTCATAGAGATTCAACGGGGAAAATCTGAGTTCAGAATATATTAAATTGCATAAAGTGAAAATAAAACCTTGAGAAAATAATGTTTTATACACTGTTATAACATCAATAAAACTTTCGGAAAAATGGCGTTAAAATATTTTCTAGCAGTAAATATTAATAACATCTAATTCTGCACAAACGTTTAAGTTATAAAACATGACTTAGGGAAAAACATAATCAAATTCATACTCTATATTTTCATTCCTTCATTCATTTCTAGAACATGCATATAAAAATTGTACTGTTTAATGCCAAATATTCATCTCTCTTCCCAACTAATAATAATTGCAAAGTAATAATTCATTTAAACTAAATTCCTGTTCTTAACTGCTAAAATTCTAAAACAAAAACAATTTACATTACACCAGAATAAGAGTTCTTCAAATTTCATACTCAAATTCTTTTTCATAGGGGAAGAGTTATTTGAATTCCATGCTACTGTACTCTACGGAAACAGGGATTCAGATGATAGCAGCGTCAGTTTCAGCTATGCGCAGGATATGGAAATGACTGTCTCAGATGATTATTTGCTTCCAGGTGAGTTACAGAAAAGGATGTTTTCTTTCTTTTCTGCCTTAAAATGTGTATGAAGGTATAGACTTTGAATAAAATTATCATTTTTCTCTTACGTTCACCGGCTTTCATCAGTTAAACTTAAATACATCAACAGCGCATAACTTATTACTGCAAATAACACAGTAAAATATGAAATTTTAAAAAAATCTGAAAGTTTTCAGATTTTAAATTACGTCCAAAGGGGCTTTTTTTAACGTTTTGCGTGCTACTTTTATTTATTAAATTCAGTCTTGCACTAAACCATAAAATTCATTCATTGAAAGTCGCAAATAATTTTAAAATGAGCATATCTTTAGAATTTCCGATACACAGTTCGCGCACCTAGAGATAAAAGGTTTTTCCCCCCGTAGAGTGTTGCCATTCCTCGCTTATCGTGAGTTTGTTACTCAAAAATCGTTAACGTTTTACAAAATATGAAAGCGATAATAAAACAAATTCCAAATGGGTCTTCCACAGACCATATTCGCAGGAGGATTACGTCATTCAAATTCGATGGCTCTTATTACGTTGTTTAGACATGCGGAAAGAGAATACATTTATGCCGATTTTCATTATTAATTTATTCAATATAATGCAAGACTCAACATTTGCGCAAAACAGTTTTAAAATTGAAACGGACTTTAAGGATTCAACGCCAATCGCAAACGAAAACAATAGTCCTTCAGAGACAAAGCCCCTTTGGACGAAAAATTTACTGTTTTTATAACGATTAGTATACCTTTTAAGAAATCTGCAATATCGATACCAAAGATTTATGGGTTAAAAGAAAATAAATTCATTCTCATATTTTTGCGAAAGGTTCAAGGAAAACTTGTGCCGTTGTTCTAAAGTACCTTTATGCGCAGTTCTTAACTAAAATTACTCTGAGATTTATTAAATCACTCCCTTGCATAATAAATGCATCTGTTCAGCGATTTTGCGACTTCTTAAAGACATGCTGAAAGATAGGTTTCTGTATATTGTTCAGGGTTGACACAACGGTTTAGTTACTTGGAACTTCGAGTTTAATTTACACCCAGCGTAACTCCTATCTGATGTATGGAGGGAGAAGAAAAATATGGAACTAAATTAAAACTATATGGAGGATAAAGAGTCTCAATAATTGTTCTTGCCAACGGATTATTATCTTTATGAGCTACGTGGGAGCATGCCTTATAATTATGAACTTTCTAATAATTTTTATGAAGGTGTAAGTGTCTTATTCATAACGCAGACACGAAATAATTCGTATTAGCTGCTGAACTGGGTATGCAGATTTCAAGTTACCATTCTTTTACTAGCAAAAACAGTGATGAAGTTTATCTTCCTAGTAGTTTTTTTTTTTTTTTTTTTTTTTTTTTTTCAGTTTTTGGTTTCTTTATAACTGGAAGTAAAATGGTGTTTAGACGAAATGTCTTTGGCATATTTAATTACAACAACGAAACTGAATGCTACACGAGTAAAGGATAAAACGTTTTTGTAGAAGATTTGACATAAAACTGGCTCATATTTATGTTACACTTGGCAAAAGCCATGAAAACCCTATATCAGCCCAACCGTCCTTCAGAAATCGAACTCCAGACTATCTGCCAGTTAGCCACTAGCAAAATGATTTTCGAGACGAGTCTCTGTCTCTTGTCTGCTGCATCATACAGGTTAAGAAATGTTTCATAAATATTAATCGTTAATTTCAAATTACAAAAACTGGCACACGTTGATACTAACTTCTTTCTTCGGTGGAATCAACAATCGAAGTAATTCATTTCGCACTCATACGCTTCATATGAAAATATTAAATACTTAAAAAGACATGTCTACGCTAATATTCTGTGATTTCTATTACAGGGAGTGGATGATACTAAACATCGCAATTGCAATTATAATCGTTGTGTCAATTCTCAAATATTTTACAGATAGTCTTTAATTTCCTCAACTACAATTGAACGATAATTAAGAGCATCATACTCTCACATTAAGCCTTCAAAAAAATTTCACGAGCTTTCTTAAGCATAGTATTAAAGTTTCAGTGAAAAGCACAGAGGAGAAGGAGAATTCAAGCGCAGTTATCGTTTCTCATAAAATGCGCAGTTAAGCCTAAAACGCTACTTGAGGTTTCGTAAAATGTATCACTCAAAACTAAGAAATTTTTAATGTTATGTGAAGCAAAAATATCAGTATTTATCCTCTTCCATATAGCCACGCTTAAGAATTAATCAACTTATAAGTAGTAATTCAGATCTTCTTAAAATTCACATTATGTAATTATATAAATTATGAAACAAACAAAAACCTTTTACTAATTATGTTCCTTATTAAAGTATATTTTAAAAGTTTATAAAGCTAAGTGAAAATGCTATTTATATTACTAAAACGCAGTAATGACTGTAGAAAAACTTTTTGTAGATGTTGATTAAAAGGAAACATTAATCAACAAATGTTTTCAGAGTTTGAAAAAGTATATCACAAACATTATATTTTGTTACTTTGTTGTTCGTTAAGTTGCTTCATATACAGTGACTAAATATTTGAAATAAAAATACTGAATATTATTCTAATTTTAACGGTAAAATTACTGTAAGAAGTACTCTAACTGAAGTTACAAGACCCGCCTTATTAGTTAAAGTTGAATGAATTACAAAACCTTCACCATGACAGACTTCCTTGTGAATATATTAAAGGATATAGTTACTTAACCTAGACTTATACAATTATAGTAGATTGTCTGTCTCTTTTTGGTTTCGCAGGTAACATCAAACGATTCTTTTATCCTCATCACTGTAACTTATTCATAAGTTATAATCAGGTTAAGGTTTGGTGGTTTATAATAAGGTTTGATAATTTTATATTTCAGAGGATTTCCATAGAATGAATGATTATGTAGATTTGGAAGACATTGAGGAAGTTGATCAGGATAATGATGATGAGGGGAATAAAGACAATGAAGGCTTCACCAAAGGTTAGCTTCCCTATTGCTTTAATTTTTCCTTCATCATCAAAGTAGAATTTAAGCAGTACTTTTAGTAAATATTCAGACTCAATAATAATATAGAATCTGTATTTTGAATATTTATATATGAAAGTTATTTCTGCGCTCTTTTATAGTAATCCTATTAATATAGCATTTGATGCGTTATTCAATGAAATGTGCAAACTTTTGTAACAATTACAAATTAATATTTTCAGAAAGGCTAATAGATTTTGCATTGCTCGTTTAACATTAATTTCAGTATAAATACGGTATATAACAATTGCCCTTTAGCTTGATGATCCTAATTAAAAATATATAAAGCAAAATATTCATTTTAATTAAAATTTTCACTTATTCTTATGAATAATCGTAAAGTTTAACATTAACTGCTTTTTAATTCTTGAGTCACTGAATTTGCGGGTAACATAGGCAGCTTACATTTAGATTTTATACTTGTATATCATGTTAAGAAGTACGAATTTCGGTTCAGTAGTTTCAGATTTCTGCTTTCCATATTGCCAATATTTTCTTACGCCTCTAAAAATTCTTACTTTCATAGATGGTTAAACTATGGTTAAAATATGTAATACATCGAAATATCTTTAAATAACGATCCTAATCTAGTTAGCCTTTGAAAACAGAAAATGAGTGTAGAATCATTGATTAAGACATTTCTTTTACTAACTCACGTGAAATCCGTAGGTAAAACGCGATTAATTTGTGGAGATATTAGTTTAAAAAATCTCCAAACACCGTTTTACGACTCCCATGTTTATATGATTTGTTTGTCGTTCTGCAACATTTTCCTCACAAATCTTCACCTAGACCGGTATATAAAATGGCACAGAGTCTATGTGACACTCTTGACCTCATCATAATCCTGCAGTTACGAAACACAACAACAGAGTGAACTAGCTCTCTACCTACCAGGCAGACCATTTTTACAAACACTGCACTTGAAGTTTCATGCAAAGAAAAGCATATATTGCCTCTGAATGCAAATTTCATAATTATTCAAACACCATACCATTAAAGAGAACTTTGAGAATTATAACATCTGTAAAACCCTAGCGCGCATCTCTCAAGTTCTAAATAGCTTCTGCGGTATTTTACTTCATTGTTGAAGACGTCCAAAGTTTAGCTGTAGCACAACAGGGGCTGGAATCGAAAGGTTTCCGTATTGAGACCTGATGTACGTAGTGCTTTTCTTTGCTATTAATATTTTTTCATTAAAAAATGATTAAAGGTTATTTTAAGCCAAAAAATGATGGGAGGAAAAATTCCGAAAACTTTCGCACAAATTTGCATGAAATTAATAAGAGTATAATTGTCATGAAAATATTCATGCCATTCAATACTTCAATACCATTTACACTGATTAAGTGACGGTTTCTAATAAAATTAATTTTATTTTCCAATTTTAAAAGGAAAAGAACTAGTTAAAATTCAAAAGGTTCTTATTAAGTTTTATTAACCCTAAAGCAAATCAAACATATTTTAGTACTATTTCTCTCAAAACCGAAGAGCAATTAGTTCTCAATGCTAGTTTCTCATCTTGATGGCATCATCTCTTGAGCCGATTTCCAGTTTGGAGCAATTCCAAATTCACAGTTCTGCGTTGTTTGATAGAACTCTTAACTTCGGTATGAAAATATTTGTCGCAAGGTTTACATAAAGGAAGCTAAGGAAGTTAATTTTATTTCCGTAATATTTCTTTAAGAATGTTATTTATGAAAAACTTTACAGACAAAATAAAATTTAGCTATAGATATATCATGAAGTAAAGAGCTCCTTCTGGATATCGGCGTTGACATTTCGCCCCAAAACCTTATATTGTTAATCCGGATAATTATTTCAGCTTCTAATAGTAAGACTAAAAGCAAATACTACAATACGTCATATAAACTTTAAACTTCCTTATAATTAAGAGATTAGAGCTAGTTTTTGAATTAATTTGAAGGTCCATCATAATTGTGAGGATTTTATATATGTTAGTGAATATGATGAAGGTTATGAGGTCTTCTGGTTAGGAGTAAGATTTTTTAACACAATTCTAGGGTTTATTAAATTTTCACTTAAAAAACGCGTTCGATGTGATGAAAGAACAGAACTCTACCTGTTCTAAGAAGTAGAACTAGTAGATGTACGAAGTTAATTCAATATAGCAAAAGATGAAAACCTTAACTTGCAATAATAATCTCTCCTAATGCATTGTAAATAGGTAGGAATTTTATCTTAAATTTTTATAAGCCAAATTTGCATAAAATCAGTGCAGTTCTGTGCTTCTATGCAAATACAATTATTTAAGAGTTTTAAAAACATCCAGCACTAAAAAATTTACATTCTTCATTTAAAATCGCATTAAGTGATACTTGAAATTTTACACAAAATTCCCAAATAACACATTTTTATTGAATTGATGACGTTTTCGGTTTCATCTGTCAAATAATCTTATACGTATGCAATTTTATAAAATACAACATAATTTAAACATCTACACCTCTATTAAAGACATCTTTGAAATCATCTAAAATTTAGTTTTCACAAATATTTCAAGGACTGCATATTGCATTTCAGACCATCGATAGGAAAATTACTTTTATGAAATAGGGTGGTTTGAACTGTATTCGCTAGCCATATTGCTCAAAAGGGACATTAAAGAAATACAACAGTAGTAAATTAGTTTTACTTTCAACCTCCCATTTTCAAACTCCAAAGTGACAGTAAAATGGGGAAAAAATACAGTTCTTGTATATGAATCTTTTAAAAAGGTAAGAGACGATATTTAATATCTAGTTTCAGCCACTGAGAGCAGTTGTCTTAATTTTTTCCATTTAAAAACTTTGAAATGTATGATTCATAGCGAATATTTTTAATAAATGGTAGGGTGCAAAGCAAACAAATTCTTTGAGTAACTTCTCTACAAAATTTCATTTTCCTCCTTTTCGAACATAAAAACATCTCTCCGAGTTGTCATTGCGGCAGATATTGTGAACTTAAATATATGGAAAAGTAAAATATGGGGAAAAAATAATATTTTGCGATATAAAAAGATGAGTCAATAATAGCATCGAAATATAAATGAAATTCATGAAATTTAATAACTATCAACAGTGCCCTTTCTCAGGTTTTATGTGATATGAGATGATGAATAAAAAAGGTGTATTTCGATCTTATAAATGGTGGTGGTGTGGTGTATTTAATTATGGCAAAGCACACTAGGGCTATCTGGCTAAGAGGAGGGATGCCTTTCGTGGAGGACTTTCTAGGGAAACTGGTCGTATACACGTTACACATGGGGAAAACCACAAAACACCCCAGCAGCAGCCCGTTCGCGGTTTCGAACCTCGACCGAACTACCAGTGTTCAGCGACCTTACCGCTCGGCCGCTAGTGGGCCCGATCTTATAAATGAAAAGATTCGAAGCAACTAGTTATTATCGGTATCCACAATCGATAAACACAAAAACATAGTATACTTGACACTATAGCATTTTTGTTGCATACTTAACTTGAAGAAAATAAGATAAGGATCTAAATTTCGCTATCGACTGATGGCACAAAAATAACAAAATGAGCTAAATTAGGAATATTCTTTGAAAACTTTCTGTTCTCCAGAAACATCCTTTCTCACTCTGCATTCGATGGATTTGAGTAAATGAAATTTTTGAAACTTACACTTGAATTCAGATCTTGGTTAAATAATTCTTCTTCAAACACAGTGGAATTTTGAAATCATAAGGAAATAAAATTCTTTCATTATATTTTCTAACAGTTGAAAGAATTGCAGAGCATTTTAGTCCCAAATGCAGTGGACTCAGGTTATCAGGTTCAGTGTTTCTCCTTACTTTCTTTGGGAACATTCAAAAACTTGACTCGGAACAGGGAGCTTACTAAAGCTATGTTCAATAAATGTGGGAAGCAGACAAGATACACAGGAAGGGTATACGAAACCCTTTATTTTTCACTCTTTACAATGATTTCCGGACTTCGGAATACAGAGACCAACCACTTGTGGTCTGAACGTAAGAATATAAAAATATTAACTAAACTCTAACTTAACTTTGGAATAATAAACAAGGGCCTACGTGGAAGATTGGCCGTATATTAACAGGAAGCCGTATGTAGTACAGAGAACTGTTAACACTACAATACGTTTAAAATTATCAAGAGGATTAACCTCTGGCCTGGAAGGCAACCAGCAAAAGGTAAAACTGCTAAGGCAAGCGGCCTGCTTCTACTAACTCCTTCCTCTCCCTGCTTGGCAAAAAAGCCACACTTAAGTACTTGCGTTCGCCAGACAAATTTCCATAAATACGTTAAAGCTTTTAATTCTGGCCGGAAGTAGAAAATAAGAAGTGATAGTAAAGATGTAAAATAAAATAAACGTTAGTAAAAACTTAAGATCCTTACATACTTCCGCCAGAGTTAATTAGTTTGAAAGAGGTCTAAAACGACCTTGTTGAAAACTTTTTAGCTCTAGAATCTAACGCGAGGCCAATCTTTTACAAACATTCTCACTAGAAATAGAAATTTAAAAAAAAAATTTGTTTTTACATTATCGCTCCATGGACAATTACTTTTCATCTGTACTGCATCTAACAGGAGCTTTTAGTTGAAATCTGGTTCCTTCCAGAGATCTGGAAGGAAAACTAGTTAATGAAATATACACAGTTAAATGGCAAGTAACATGAATATTATATTCTTTAACATTCTTATTTCATTCACGACTTTATTTTTTATCTCTCCCGTGCTCTCTGACATGTGTTGTAAAAGAAAAACACGAACACGAATGTGTTTATGTACAAGTATTCAACACTACGTCTACAATCAAAATTACTAACGTGTTAAAATTCAACATAACAAGACCTCGTAACACACCCTAACTTCATCTCTAAAACCTGAGGTACTATTCTGAAAGTGGCTAACTCTGCAAGTAGCGTCAGAGAGCCTAACTACATTCATTCAACCTTTACACATATTCACAAT